AAAGTCTCTTTTCCAAACTCCAGCTCCAGCTGGTGGTCGCATCAAGTACAATGCAGAGCCAACAGTCTAGCATAGTACGTAAGGATATCAGAGAGAAGAGCACCAGCAGCCAAGATAGCAAGGAATAAGTTAAAGTATAACTGAAGGTAAAACTTTTATGGTTTTGGATAGAGTGGAGACTAATTAGAATACCTGTTAGGTTTTTATTGCTTTCCGTGCTGCCATTAGGAGAGACACCTGTGTTTGTTCTGTATAGCATTATCAGTGAGAGTGAAAGTAAAAGAAAATCCAAAACAAGAACAAGGTGTGCTTGTTTTTTAATGGCATTTGGGGGGGGGGGGGGGGGCTGCTGCTATTATTGTTGCCTCTATTGATTTTCTTGCCTTTTTTTCTCCAAAAATGATCAGCCAACTAATGCATTTCCTAATGAATGTTACAAAGTCATACATTCTATTTTCGAATGTCAAACATTTTCATTCTTATATCTCAAATAATTTGATTGTCTAGTTCTAATTTCCCAATCTAATTATATATCTTCATTCTCTTTAATCATGTTACTATTGTACATTTCAGCTCAAACTCTGTTACAGTGGCTTAATGGTTAGCACTCATGGCTTGCAGCACTTGAGTCATGGGTTCTAATCCCAGTCATGGCGGCACCTGTCTGGAGTTTGAATGTTGTCTCTGTTCAGGTGTGTTTCTGCCAACACTCCAAAGACATGCTGTTAGGTTAATTGGGCCTAGTGTATGTATGAATTTGTGGCCTTAGATTGTAAGCTCCTTGACGATACAGACTATTTTTTTTTTTTTTAACTATTTATTTACTGATCTAGTTAATGTGTCCCATTTCCTATCACCTACAGCTCAGATCTCGCATTATTATATGATTCCTAATTGTATCTCACCACTAGTCTGATTGAATTCACAATTCCTGGTCAGTCCCATTCCCTTACCTATAATAACCTTTAGGGCCAGTTCACACTACATGCGTTTCAGTTGCTTTTTTCTGCATCCAAAACGCACAGAAAGTAAGTTATATGGTTGTCAATGTCTTAGTTCACATCAGTGCTTGCGGTTCCAGTGCGTTCCGGGTGCAGAAAAAAAAGTAGAATAGGCTGCATTGTTTCTGCACAGAACTGTACTGGAACATGGTAAAATGCACCAGAACACAACAAAAATGCACTGGAACACACATGTCCTAAATAAATTGAAGAAAAAGAGAGAAGGGAAAGAGATTAACTGGAATGCATAAAAAAACGCACTGGAACACATAAAAAATGCATCAAGAACACACCGGAGCACCCTAAAAATGCTTCAAAAACATGCATGCAAAAACACATCTGGAACACATCTAGACTGCGTTTCTATAGTGTTATCTGGCCTTTAGGACTTGTTCACACCATTTGTGGTGCAGAAACTCATGCAAGAGCATGCATTTTCCTGCATAGCAAAGAAACCCAATTCCCTTTGCAGATGTGCGCAGGTACCATGATGAAAACTTAATTGCACCTCCACACATCTGGTAAACACAGATGCATTCACAGCCACCAAAACGCATGGCACCACACCACTGTGCGGTTAGGTGCAACAGTTTTAAAACAATATGCCTGCAGTATTTTTGCATGTTCCTACACGTTCGGCAGCCCATTGAAATTAGTGAGCTGAGGAAAAAAAAGTAAAAAATGCCCCATTCACACACATCCTCTGGCCTGTACAGCATGAATGAGTGGGTTGTTCATGTGGCTGGAGCCACCTGTTACACTATGAGGACACAGCAGCTGTATGAACACAGGTTTTAATCTAACAGGTGTGGGGAAGTGGCCCTGAATGCTCATTGTCTTAGTTCAGGGCTGTACACCTGCACCTATATGCCTGTCAAATTAGGACCTGCAGTGTCTCCACAGTGTAACATAGGTTGCCTGCAAACTGCTCCAAGCGGCGACAGCCACAAAAACAAACAAACTGATTCACACTCTACAGGCCACAATATCCATGTGAATGAGCCCTAAGACCTCAACTACACACACAGCTTTATTTATTAACTCAGTACAGTTTTATCATTTAGATTTAACAGGAATTTTGTTGGGATTGTGTACATTAATAAAGTTTTTAGTGTATTTTTACCATAAATATTATTTTGATATTTTCTCTGGTGGTGGTGGGGGGGGGGGGCCCTGTCAGGTAGATTGTACAGGGCCCCGTGATATCTAACAGCAGCCCTATTAGATATCATGGAATACCTTGAGCCTCTGCTGTGTACCTCAATGTGTCTAGGAATTGGACATGTTTTCTGCTGAAAATACAACAATCATTAGCGGGCATCGTGACTGACGTTGGATCTACTTCAGGGGACATTCTTTTAATAAAGGACTTGTCAAAGACGGTCTCCTGTCTTTTTTCACACTAGCCCCCCCCCAAAGACCCCCCATGTTGAGCGCATGTGGCCTGGTATGGTTCAGGAGGGGGGCGCTCGCTCGTTCTGCACATGCACATTTCTATCATTCCCTAAAAAATCTATTTTTTTTATCCACTGAAAACATTTTTTAAAAGAAATATATTCTTTAAAGTGAAGTCCAGATACTGGTAAATCAAATTTCAATGTGAACATGTTTCTACGGTGATTTTTCATTCCTTTAGACGTGCTTTTAGGATGTCTGCTTTTTTTAGATGGATTCCTTTATTGTGTCCATTAGTAAATTCGCTTTCGTATCTAGTTATTAGACGCTTTCTTTAGTAAATGTCTTTGCCGTCCAAAAGTAGACGGATTCCAATGAAAAGTAGGCTTTAGTCTACGGAAGTGCGCCCAGATGCTGTATATGTGCTTTCGCAAATCCGGGCCAACGTGTCTCTTCTGCAAGAGCTGCCTGCTTGTAGGTTTTCACCAGTTACCTTTAGTTCCACTTTAAGAAAAAAAAAATATCAAAGGGGCAGACTTGATCAATCACTTTATCTTTTTCTGCTGGTATATTTCTGTAGCATTAACAAAGTCTGATAAAGCTATCCCTTAAAGTGAAATTAAAGGCAGGCTTTAAAAAGAGAAAAAAAAAAAAAAACGTTATACTTACCTGCTCTGTGCAATAGTTTTTCACAGACCTGTCACAATCCTCCACTTGGGTACCCCTGCGGTGCTCCTGGCCCCTCCCTCCTGTTGAGTGCCCCCAGAGCAAGCAGGTTGCTAATGGGTCACCCAAGCAAGCTCGCTCCCGAGCCACTGCTCTGCGTGTCTATTCATACACAGAGGCTACCCCCAATTTGCTCACTGGCTGTGACTGACAGCAGCAGGACCCAATGGCTCCTGCTGCAGTCTCAGCCAATGAGGAGAGAGAGTCCCAGGATTGCTGGATCATTATGGGGCTCAGGTAAGTATTGGGAGGGGGGGGGGTTCTGCTGCCCACCAAAGGTTTTTTTTACCCTCATGCATAGAATGCATGAAGGTAAAAAACCTGGAGCCTTTACAACCGCTTTAAATTTATCAGACGTTCCTTTGACTACTGAGGTTTATTTTGCCATTTTTTTTAAATTAATGGTTTTGGAAAACCTCATCTGTAGCAAGGGAAATTATTTTTGTTTTTATATTGCAGGGAAACAGGTGCAGGCAGTTTCTTTACATTTTCTTGGGAATGGAATTCTGGTGGCAATTTTTTCAATTGTACACTAGCTGTTGTGCATTCTCAGTGCAGTGTATGCTTTGTGATCTATAACATATCTAGAACTGAACTGGGTCCAATGACCTGCATATATGCAGAAGTTAGATCATCAGTGGCCACCTAATTGTTGAGGTGGGCAGATGAGAACTTGGAAGAAGTTGGTGGCAGTGGACGGAAGGGATGAGGGATAGCTGGGAACTGTGAGTGCAGGAGCCATAATTTGCAAGTATGCTGTGCATACGAGCATAATATGGAAAGAGCAGAAGACCTGTTACAGATCCATGTTACAAAAAATGAAAAGGTGAAATAACACCCTACACCCCTGGGCCCTGCTGCGCTTACCTCCATGGGTGATTGGCTGTAATTGCCCATGCAGGTGGTGCAGCATTCTGGGCATTTGAAAGCCCCACTCTTCTTCCTTGTATTTCCCTAGCGCATGAATCAGAGCGATTCTGATTGGTCACATGTTGACACCTGACCACTTTGACTAATCATAAATGCTCTGATCCCAGAAGCCCCAGGGACAGGGAGGAAGAACAGGGATTTCAAATGTCCAGGCTGCTGTCTGAGCAGTGACAGCTAATCACCCATGGAGGCTAGTGCAGTTGCCTCCAGGAGGTTGGTGGGATGTAGGGTGTATTAGTTCGCTTTTTCATTTTCTTTGAAAAGGTGAACTTAGACTTCAAGCTTCGTAAACCCCCACTGGATGTGATGTAATGTTCTCTCCTCAGCTTCACCTCTCCAACAATGGTTTGGAGTAGTTGGATTTGTGTAGTAAAAGAGTATGGGGTTTTTATAAACCTTGTTGAAGTTTTTAATCCAATTTCCTGTTGCAGACTGAGGACTTTCAATGTTTTGGTTAAAGATTCAAGTTTCCTTCTCATTTCGCTATGCAAGATGGCTATTGTCCCTTTTGAGGACACATTAACAACTGTACAAAAAATTAAAATAAGAATGGGTCAAAGGGCCTTTCTCCTGCAGGTGGTTTCTAAGTCCATAAAAAGACAAGAAGAACAGGCTAGGGGAAGTGAGGTGCAGGCATCATAGAAAATGAGCAAGTGTTGTAAAGGTTGTGGTCTGACAGCATACTTTATTTCTTTGGACCTCTAATCTTTGTTTAATATGAAGACATAAGCATTGGCTTTGTATATGAAGAAAATTCAAGTCTTAAATGTCTGATTCTCAATAATTGCCAGCAGGGTAGAATGAAAGGACAATATGTTTTGTAATAGAAAAGGCTTCTGACATATTTTCCACCATGGGATGTGGTTTAAATTTGTGTGTGATATTATTAATCACCCTGCTGAAGATTTCAGTTTGGAGAGTATAGGTGCAGATCCTTATGAGAATTTTATGGACAGAGCCATTTTATTTTCTGTGTGTCCTCCAGGTCCTGAGCCCCAATCGCACAGACTCTGCACTTCCTCCGCATCAACTGAATCCAGTGAGGACCAGTTTTTTAAGTGGTTTCTGCTGCTTATACCCGTCGCCACCTTTGGCCTGGGCACCTGGCAGGTAACGTGCCTGACTTTACAATACACCAACACTCCTAGCAAGCTCCTCTCAATGCACCCTTTATAAACCTGCTCCAAAGTGTTTAGAGAGACATAATTATAAGTTTTTACTAAAATGTATAGCAGATATGCACTATATTGTCTAAAGTATTGGGACGCCTGCTTTTACATGCACATGAACTTTAATGGCACCCCAGTCTTAGTCCATAGGGTTCAATATTGAGTTGGCCCACCCTTTGCAGCTATAACAGCTTCAACTCTTCTGGGAAGGCTGTCCACAAGGTTTAGGAGTGTGTCTATGGGAATGTTTGACCATTCTTCCAGAAGCACATTTGTGAGGTAGGGCACTGATGTCAGATGAGAGAGCCTGGCTCACAGTCTCCGCTCTAATTAATCCCAAAGGTGTTCTATTGGGTTGAGAGCAGGACTCTGTGCAGGCCAGTCTAGTTCCTCCACCCCAAACTTGCTCATCCTTGTCTTTATGGACCTTGCTTTGTGCACTGGTGCGTAGTCATGTTGGAACAGGAAGGGGCCACCCCCAAACTGTTCCCACAAAGCATGAATTTGTCCAAAATGTCTTGGTATACTGATGCCTTAAGAGTTCCCTTCGCTGGAACTAAGCGGCCAAGCCCAACCCGTGAATAACAACCCCACACCATAATCCCCCTCCACCAAACTTTACACTTGGCACAATGCAGTCATGCAATTATCGTTCTCCTGGCAACCGTCAAACCCAGACATGTCCATCGGATTGACAGAGAAGCGTGATTTGTCACTTCAGAGATCACGTCTCCACTGCTCTAGAGTCCAGTGGCGGTGTGCTTTACATCACTGCATCCGACGCTTTGCATTGCACTTGGTGACGTACGGTTCTAATGCTGTTCGGCCATGGAAAACCATTCCATGAAGCTCTCTAAGCACTGTTGTGCTAATCTGAAGGCCACACGAACTTTGGAGGTTTTTAGCTATTGACTCTGCAGACAGTTGGTGACTTCTGCGCACTGTGTGCTTCAGCATGTGCTTACACCGCTCTGTCATTTTACATGGCGTTGCTGTTGTTCCCAGTTGCTTCCACTTTGGTATAATACCACAAAAATAAGCAGTTTACCCTTGCATTGTGTGTGAAAGGAAGGACTTATAGTTTTCCTGGAGTTGGGCTTCAAAAAAGTCACAGTTACTGAGATGTTCTATTTCACTGGATGCACTGTTTTCCTATACTGCAGTTTGAGAAAATGAAAGGAAAAAAGGTGATTGGCCACTGTATCACATTATCATGATGCTCCTTTCTGTCTGTTCCAGGTTCAGCGACGGAAGTGGAAGCTGAAACTCATAGACCAGCTAGAGTCTCAAGTTAACGCTATACCGATCCCTCTTTCCACTGAGTGAGTCTTCTTGACTTTGCATACATAGTTAAGTATGGCTGGCCTGATGATGCTAAAAGGATTATTACTATCCTTTCACATGCTTCATCTAGGCCAGTGTCTCCCAGAGAGAGTGCAGTGTATGCTCCTTGACAACTCCTAGCATCTATAAGATGCAGAGTCTCCCAGACTCTGGCCCACAGGGACCAAACACGGGTGAGGTTCTTCAGACTTTTAGGTAGCAAAATAGCTAAGACAATCAGTAACAGATAATGATCTTCAGATAGCAGCATGATTGTGATAATTATTAAGGGATGATATTCTTTAGACTTCCATGTAGACACACAACTGAGATAGTTAGTAACACATAATGTTTTTCAAATCTCCAGGCAGCAGGACAACTGTGATAATTAGTAGCAAGTGGTGTCCTTCCGACTTCCAGGTAGCAGGACCACTGTAATAAATAGTAAAGGGGGATGTTGTCAAACCTCAAAATAGTAGCATGTCTGAGATTTGTAACAGATGATATTCACTATACTGGCAGGTAGCATAGCTGAAATTAGTAACAGGTGATTTATTCCAGACCTCCAGGTAGCAATGCAATAAGAAGGGCTTTAAATAATTTTATCTGCTTCTGTTATTGGCTCACTTTCATGTGTCTTTTTAGTGCAGCAGAACTGAAAAGATTGGAGTATCGTCCTGTGACAGTTAGAGGTTACTTTGATCACTCCAAGGAGCTATATATACAGCCCCGCACACTCATGGACCCAGAAAAGGAGGCTCGAGAAGCTGGGCAGATCACATCAAACACTGAGAGTGGGGCCCATGTGGTCACTCCATTTTACTGTACTGACCTCGGGTAAGTCATTTTATAGCTCTGCCAGAGGTTTGACATGCCAGGGGAAGATGACGGATTTTCATCAATTTCATGCTAAGGGGTATAATACCGGGATTATACACCATTCAACCATAACATTATGACCATCCACTTAATATTTAGTAGGTCCCCTTTTTCTGCCAAAACAGAACTACCCCTGCGCAGTATGTACTTCACTAGACCTATAAAGGTATGCTGTAGTATCTGGCACCATGCTGTCAATAGCAGATCCTAACTCGCGAGGTGGGGCCTCCATGGACTGGACTTGTTTTTCCAGCACTTCCCACAGATGCTCAATTTGATTGAGATCTACAGAATTTGGAGGCCAAGTCGATACTTAGAAAGCACCTTCTTCCATTGCTCCTTGGTCTACCTCTGATGCTCCCGTGCCCATTGGAGGCGCTTTTGGTTGTGGAAACGGGTAAGCATGGGCACCCTGACCAGTCTGCAATTATGCAGCCTCATACACAACAAACTGTGATGCACTGTGTGTTCTGACACTTTTCTTTCAAAACTAGCATTATGTTTTTCAGCAATTTGAGCTACAGTAGCTCTTCTTTTGGATCAGACTACATGGGCCAGTGTTCACTTCCCATGTGCATCAGTGAGTCTTGGCCACCCATGACTCTGTTGTCAGTTGGCCAGTTTCCCTTCCTTGGACCATGTTTGGTAGGTCCTGATCACTGCAGACCAGGAACATCCCACAAGAGCTGCAGTTCCTGAGTTGGCTCTGTCCCAGTCATCTAGCCATTACAATTTGGCTCTTGTCAAAGTCGCTCAAATCCTTAAGCTTGCCTATTTTTTCTGCTTTCAACATATCAACTTCAGGGACAACATGTTCACTTGATGCCTAATATATCCCACCCACTTTCAGATTCCATTGTCACAAGGTAATCAATGGTATTCACTTTACCTGTCAGTGGAAATGTTATGGCTGATTGTTGTATATTGGGTGGGGATTATAATAATGGGATTTTGGTTATATACAGGATGGAGGGTGTAGTAATGAGAATTTGATTATATGTGGGGAGGCTATAGTAATAGGAATGTCATTATATATCGGTTGGGGGTATAATAATGGGAATTTGGTTGGTATATGGTGTGAAGGTATGATATTGAGGAATTTGGTTATAAATGTGGTGGGGATATATTGATAGGGATGTGGTTATATATGGGGTTGGGTTGTAGTAGTAGTATACAGGATTTGTATAGCGCCAACAGTTTTCACAGCACTTTACAATGTGAGGGCAAACAGTACAGTTACAATATAATTGAATACAGGAGTAATTAGACATGGTTCAGGAAAAGGTATTTCTGCCTCCAGGGAAACGTTGCGCCCTGAGGAACGAGGTTTGTAGTTTGAAGGCCAAGAGGTATACTTCAATTCGTCTCTGTATGAGGTTGTTGGGGAAGGTGGTCCTCGTTCTAGGCTATTCCTTATGCTAAATTCCACTCCCGACCACTGCAAAGGTATATTCTGTCTGATTCAAACAAAAAGATCACCGCCCTGGATTACTGCATATCTCTGTCTCCAGAAGTGCAGCAGAGCCTGAATTGGTGGTTGATAACTCAGAATTTGAGAAGGGAAGATCCTCTTGGCCAGTGGTGTGGAAGTTGGTAACCACTGATGCCAGCCTTTCAGGTTGGGGGGCCATTCTGGAGTAGGCCACAGTGCAGGGAAAGGGTTCTTCCCATCAGTGTCCTGGAACTTCAAGCAGTGAGGCTGGCTCTGAGGTATTGGACATCCAGGCTTCAGGGATGGCCTGTAAGGATTCAGTCCGACAATCTCACAACAGTTGCATACATCAACCACCAAGACATTCTGACCTGGCAAATCCAAAACAACAAACACTTTACTCCTGCGCTAGGAAAGGACTCAGTAGACCCAATAGGAATGTTCTGGAATTTTCTGGAATATGCACTGCTTGCTGCCCTCAACAGACCGGGGTGGTCCGAATACACTGGATACAAATGGAGAAACAGAAAAAGGGCGCACCGACCTAGTGCATTATCGTTTAAAATAATTTTATTAAAGAAACAAAAAATAGGTATCATACAGGGCTCTGAGGAAGAGGTTGTGTCCTCGAAACGCGTTAGCCAGTTGGTCATCCAGGGTTCTATCGTATGGACTCAGATGTTGTTTGGATCATACATCTTGTTCAGTTTGACATGCCTGTGTTATTATGTCCATTGTCAGTATGATACCTATTTTTGTTTCTTTAATAAATTATTTTAAACGATAATGCACTAGGTCGGTGCGCCCTTTTTCTGTTTCTCCATTTGTATACATTCTGACCTGGGCAGAGAGATATGTTCCAAATCTGTCAGCAATGTTCATTTCAGGTGTGGAAGATTGGCAGGTGGATTATCTCAGTCGCTGGCAGTTGATTTCAGAGGTATGGGCTTTGCATCCCGATGTTTTCAAGGAAATCTGCCAGCGATGGGGTTGCACAGATGTAGATCTATTGGCATCCAGGTTCAACAACAAGGTCGGTTTTTTGCGCGTCACTCGGGCCCAGGGGTAGACACCTTAGTGATTCCTTGGAACTAATTCTCACTGATGTGTGCCTTTCCTCTGATCCACTCTGATCTCATTCTTTGGTCTGCACTTTTTAACAAGGAGTGATGCTTATGGCTCCTCCTGTCAAGTTGCCTGTGTGTCCTTGGGACCTGATATTGGTTTTGGAGGTTTTGCAAAAGCCACCATTTGAACCTATTAGATTCCGCTGGTCCTGTTGACTGTTGTTTCTAGTGGCAATCACTTCTGCGAAAAGGGTGTTGGAGCTGACAGCTCTTATTTGCAGAGAACCATTTCTGGTTTTGCGTCAGGATAAAGTGGTGTTGCAACCTCATCCGTGATTTTGGTGGTGGTTTCTACATTTCATCTCAACCAGGACATAATTCTGCCTTAATAGGCATCAGTCAGCAAGAGAAAGATCTCTGCAAACCTTGGATGTGGTTCGGTCTTCAAGGGTCTTGAAGATGACAGCAAAAGTCAGGAGGTCAGATGCTCTATTTGTGCTGCTAGAGGGGCCTAGGAAAGGGTCAGGCGGCATCCAACGTGACTATATCTCTTTGGATCCATCAATTGATTATTCAAGCCTATGGTTTAAAGTGTAATGTCCCACCCTTTCAGGTGAAGGCACACTGTTCCAGGATTTAGGGGGCATCTTGGGCAATCTGCCATCAGGCGTCAGTGGCTCAGGTTTGCAAGGCCGCTACATGGTCTTTAGTTCACACATTCAGAAGTGTCTACCAAGTGGATGTCAGAGCCGCAGAGGATTCTGCCTTTGGCCGAAGTGTTTTACGGAGGGCTGAGTAGGTCCTGATGGATTGTTGATGGTGGCTATCATGGTGTCACCCTCCCCTCAAATTTCTTATTGCTTTGAGACATCCCACATGAATAGCCTGTTCTGTGTCCCATGATGTACTATAAAGAAAATTGGATTTTTTTCTACATATTTACCTGTAAAATCCACTTCTTGGAGTACATCAGGGGACACAGAGGTCCCGCCCCTCTTTCTGGAATTTTCATTGCTTGCTACAAAAACTGAAGTACTTCCTGTATAGGAGCGGTTATATAGGGGAGGACCTCCTCTCTGATTGGTTGCCCAGTGTCCATTCACCTATAGGTGGCCTATAACCCACATAGTCATGAATAGCCTGCTATGTGTCCCGTGATGCACTCCAAGCAATGGATTTTAGAGGTAAGTATGTAGAAAAAATCCAATTATTACAACACTGGCAATGAAGAATTTTACTCGTCTATATGCTTACACACCTTTACTCAGCTGTACTCAACATTACTCAGGTCTTTACACACAGATTTTACTCAAGGACTTTGTCAACAAGTTCATGAGTAAACTTCATTAAATTGACGCCCGTGTGCAAGTGGCTTTAGGAATTTTTAAAATGTTTTAAATCTGGGATCTTGGATAAACAAAAATGTATCAAATGAGAGGATAAAAAGCTGACATGTTTTTCCTAATGTTTTCTGTAGCTTTCCCCTTAGGGTGCTTTGGTGATGCTACCCCAGGAGTTGTCCTTGACAAGCAAGGCTCACAGGAAGAGGGTAGAATGATGCTGGGCACCATTCAGTTCTGAAGAGGACTGATGCTTGACCACTACGGAAGACTCACAGGGCAGTGATAGAGCTTGAAGCAGATGAGCAAAGCTTGTTGTTTTTTTTTTCTTTTTTAATAGGGGCTCAAAATATTGTGTTTCGCATAGGAGTGCTACACAGCCACTTGCATTATATTATTACAGCTAAATAAATGATAACTTCTGATACACTGAGTTAGGAGTCTAGAGATTCAAATTGTTTCTCCTTCTCTTCTTCCAGAGTTACAATCTTGGTTAATCGAGGTTTTGTTCCCAAAAAGAAGATTAATCCTGAGACACGGAAAAAGGGGGCAGGTGAGGAACACAATATGCAATGCATAAGAAAAGGAGTACAGGATACTTTGCAGAGGGAGGTGACAGGAGTGGTGCACAGTATGCAGTGAAGTAGGAAAGGAGAGGGGGAGCTTACAGTATGAGTTCAGTATACAATACAGGAAGAAGGTACAAGTGTCCTTTACACTATACAATGAAGGAGGCAGGAAGAAGTGTCTTGTACAATATACAATAAAGTATTTTCCATATATACAAAGCAGGAGGATAGTAAGATGCGGTCCTCTGTCTGTTTTCCTCTAGGTAGAAGGAGAAGTGGATTTGGTTGGTATTGTGAGACATTCAGAGAAGCGCCAGCCATTTGTTCCGCAAAATGATCCTGAGAGAAACAGATGGTATTACCGAGATGTGGAAGCCATGGCAAAACTGACTGGGGCAGAGCCAATAATTATTGATGCCAATTTTGGTAAGATCAACAAGATTTGATGTGGTGAGATTAATCCTTGTTGTGTCATCACAGAGAATGCCCCCCAACATGCTGGAAGCAGAGACATTGCACAATGAGTCCTCTGTCAGAACACAAAGGCACAGCGGGGGAGATTGCTGCACTAACATTGCTTGTTGAACGGGTTGAATGAAAAAAAACCTTTTAGTGTGTACTCTGCTTAAGGAAAGCTTCTTATGCAACAACATTTCATTAAATATTAACAAAATCCAATTATCATGGTATTTGGATTTGGGCCTTGTGTTCATTGCTTGAATCAAATAGTTGTAGGTGTGAGTTGACTTCACGCATCATAATGATTGGATTATGTTAATCAGAAAAAGGTGTTTTCACACCTGTAACTAGATAACTAACATCTGCCCTCACACATTTATTTATACATATATATTTGAGAGTGTGCAATGAACTACTATTTGTGTCTTATCACAGCCAGCACAGTTCCCAGTGGACCCATTGGAGGACAGACTAGGGTAACGCTGAGGAATGAGCACATGCAGTACATTATTACATGGTAAGTATATCCCTTTTTTTCAGTTACTTATAACCATCAATTTACGCAACGGTTTACATATATATTGTACATTCACATCAGTCCCTAACCCTCAATCTAAGGTCCCTAACTTACATTCATACATACAGATACTAGGGCCAATTTAGACAGGATCCAATTAACCTACCAGCATGTCTTTGGAGTATGGGAGGAAACCGGAGTATCCAGAGGAAACCCGCGCCTGCACAGGGAGAACATGCAAACTTCAGGCAGGTGGTGCCGTGAATTCAAATATTGGGTATGCAGCGCTAAATGTTAACATACAAGACAATGATCCATGTACGTTTATAGAAATGTTCATCAGTTAAAAGATAGTCCCAGATAAAAGTCTTCCAATAGCTGAACTTATCAGACTATATGCATTGGTACTAAATATTCCGTAAGGTGATAGATTAGTGATTTTGATTTGCCGTGGTTTTGATTTGAACCAATGACCCTGTACCGCCAAGCGGAAGTTCTAACCATTTAGCCACTCTGCTGAAATGAAACAAATTCATGGAGTCAGTTAGCCCAATGTCATAACCGTAAAGAAGGCTTCTTCCATTGACAACATCAGAAATGTCAGGTGCCAGATGTAAATCTGTAAAAGCACTGACAACTGGGAGTATATGTTTTATCCAGAACTGATAAAGCAGTAGTAAACACAGCTTACTCGTACTTACAGGTAAGCTTATAATAAAGCTTACCTGTAGGTTCCTGTAATATTTCCTAAACATGCACCATTTAAGAGATATTCACTACTTTGGCAGCTAGTGACGTCACCGGCACATGTGCACTGCACTTTCAAGGGACAGCATGCCATCCATTCAGAGTGCTGTGCCACGGCTATGGCTCCCATGCGCATACACTTGAACCCGGAATGAAGGCTATGTGAAGATGGAAACTGAAGCCCTGCTAGCGGTGACAGTGTGCCGCTGGAGGGCTTCATTTTAAGGTAAGTCTGTCATAATGTGCTAGTATACAATGCATACTGACATATTATGACATTAGCTTTCAGGGTTCTGTTTTTTTTTTTTTTTGCCACTGAGTTTACTACGGCTTTAAGAACTACTGTACTGGTGCAAAGCCCTGGCATCCAGCCAGTGCAGCTTATGTACTAGTTATAATAATAATAATAATAAAAAAAAAAAAAGTGTCCCCACCTCCCCCCCCCCCCCCCCCACTTGTCCATTGTATCAGAATAGAAAGGATTTTTCCTCAGCAGCTTAATATTATGGAAGGCTTTATTTATTCGTTTGAGCCCAGCCAAGCTCATTAATTGTGGAATGATTCTTTTCTTTTACAGGTATGGTCTCTGTGCTGCCACTACATACTTGTGGTTCAAGAAATTCATACAGAAGGTTCCACTCTAGCTGTTGAATATTGTAAAAAACAATTGTAAATACAATACAGGATGTGGCTGTGAACTGGCATAGATCTCTGATGCGTAGTTAGAATGGAAAAGGACTGATTATTGGAAGGTGACAGAGAATTACCACTATGTATCATTCCTGTACATCCTAAATTATATATTCTGTCATTATTGACTTTGTGCTGATTAAGACATAACATTGTGATCATTTTGGGTTTCAGAAAACCGTAAACATGTATAAACATGGGTAAGCTACAATATCAGCCTTAATTTTCACAGTGTGTGAAATGAGCATGCACATTTCTTAAAGTGTTTTCACCGTTTCCCATGAAAAGGTGTACAGTTCAAAAAGTTTATGGTGGTTGAGACTGACAAAGTGTACATTCGGCCAGATGCGTAACTTGAAGCTTGTGCGCCCCGATGTAAAAATTGATCTGGGGCCCCCCCACTACCACCCACCGTGCGCCAACATACTCAAAGTTATTTCAGATCTTTGTTTACATATTGAGAGGGTAATTCAAAAGTTTTTGCAGAAGCTGTCCATATTAGATATACTTCTCCAATTATTTTGAATACTTGTAAGCAGACCCCACTGTAGAATGTAAAAACGCTTGCAAGAATATATTACAACGTTTTATTTCCATCCCCCCCAGTGAAATAATTAAACTCTTTCTTCTCTCCTATTCTATTTCCTCTCCCTCTTTTCTTCTTGCTCTCTACTCCTTTCTTGCTGTCTCTATCTCTCAAATTCTCAAACTTTACTTCTATCATTCATTCTCTCTTTCCATCTTTCTCTCCCCCATCTCTCTCTCTTTTTCTCTTTCTATTTATCTCTCTCTCATTTTCTCTTTCCCTCTTTTTTCATCTTCATTTAATCTCACTCCATTAGTTCAGTGTCAGTTCACACTAGAAACTTCATATGACACTCTGCACTTCCTGTGCAATTCACATGCAGTTTTGCACAGTGCGATCTCAGCCCATTCATTTTGAATGGACAGAAATTGCACCGCACCACAAGTATTACATGCACAACTTTTTAAAATGCACTGCAATAAAAGTACTATACGATCTGGTGTGGGCAAACACACCGCACTTGCGACCTGTGTTTGGGGTGTCATTAACTTATTCTCAACACTCACTGCAGATTGCAAATGGAGTGTGTTTTGCATGCAGTGTGAATTGAACAGGAACGCACAGCGCGTTCCCATGCAATTCCATTGCAGGCATGGTGTGAACCAGCCCTGGTTTCTTTAGGTGTTCATCTCTCTCTTTTGTCTGTATGCAAAAAAAAATAAATAAATAAAAGTTTGGCTTAATGCACACTGAAGGACATTTCCATTACACATGCTCAAATAATACAGGCAGTCAGTGTCCTAATCATTCCCAGTGCATTTTGCAGGCAAGACTTTAGTATCCATCATGGGAAAGTTAATGCTGCTGTCTGGTGAACAGTGGTTACATTAACACATTTTACCTGTCTGTACAGGGTTTGGACTACAGAGTCTGCCAAGGGCAATTCCTTGTCTGCCCTACACTGAGCACTACTGGACAGACACAGAGAGATGGGCTCTCGGCCTCTGACCAGCTGCAACTTGTCCTGTTCTCTTTTCATCTTGTGTTCAGTTCTAGATAAGATATCACAATGCATGTGAGGAGGGGGCTGCACAAAGGGAGAGAATATATTTCATCAGACAATTTTTCTATACAGGATGTGGATTTTAACTCTTTCAGCAAAGTAGAAGGAAACAAGCACATTCATCATACACAGGAGGATTCTGCTTTAAAGAACAGGAGTTGAAAGGCAGTCCCCAGGGCCCCCTGGAGCAGGGGCCGAGTCGCAACTGCAACTTCTGCGACCCCTGTTGTTACACCAGTACATACAGAAAAGGGGATAGTGTGCAACCATGGCAGAGAGGATATGGCGGTAGAGATTGCCCATCTGTACACGTGGCAGTGGGAAACTGATAGCGTTAGAGACAGACAGTCTGTCCATATAGCAAAAAGGTGATGGTGGTAGAGACCAGACCGTCATTGTTTTGTTTGCATAGGGTAGAGGGGTGAGAGACTGTCAGTGTGTGCAGAGGGGTGATGGGATGAGTTCAAATATTTCCATATTTTGCTGATCTTGATACATTCTAATAGATAAAATCAAATTATGGGCAAAGTCTGTCACTAACGTAAGTACAGCAGTTTTTAAATAATTCATTACAATGTAAAGAAAATAATTTCGCGGAAACATTTTCAAACTGCTTTATGGTCTAGGTCTAACTGGCAATGCAAATTGAATCCAAAAGGTAGCCATTTGATACTACATTAACGCTCAAAAAAACCCCAGAATTCAGTTTATTGTAACAAAGTTCGGAGATAATGCTTGCAATAGTATCAAAGTGAATGCGTCCATAATCAAAGGCCATGCCAATTTAACCTGCATGGGAAGTGTGCCAGGAAGAAGCTTTTTTTTTTTTGTCCAAAAAGAACATTAGAGCAAGACCACAGTTTGCTATTGAACATATGGGCATAGACCAGGCCTTCTGGAACAACGTGTTTTGTATGTCAATGATTTTTATTAACTCTTTTAAACAATTTAACAAAGGAAAACTAGAGCAAAAGACATGCCTGCGCAGGGGCTATCAATGGCACATAAAAAATAAAGAGAACAGTGCTGTAACACCAACAATGTAAAATGCCCACATATTGGCCAGTAAAGGCACATAAAATACAAGAACAGTGATATAACACCAACAAGATACCAGTCAAATGCAAGTATCTACTGCCTCACAGATTCAAACAGAAAAGAAAGAGAAAAAAGGAGTAAAGACAAAAACAAGACCCGAAGCAGGAATCTCAGGAACGCCAATACCGTACAGCATCATGAACCCAAACTAGCCGGGTGGAGCGTGGGAAAAGCATATGTCAACCACGGCTCCCATTTTTTCAAGAATTTCCGTTGGGAGTCATTACGGATACTTGACATCTGTTCATTGAGCATCAAAGAGGTAATACGGTCCCACACCCCCCTGAAGAGGGACAGACAGGCTATTCCAGGCCTGAGCAATTGTTCTAGTGGCCGACAAAAACAAATGGGAAGATGGAAAAATGTGCAAAGAAGGGCAAATACACGAGACCAAAAACCAGTCTGGAACAACGTGTTTTGGACCAATGATTCAAACATAGTGTCATTTGGCCACAGTAAAAGTAGAAATGTTTTTCACAAACTGAATGTTTGAGGTGTTTTGCTGTTTCAGGGCCTGGTCAGCTTGCAGTCACTGAGTCAGCTATACATTCTGCATAATATCAAAGTGTTCCACATGAGAATGTGAGGCCATCTGTCTGAAACTTGAAGTTAAACCGGAAATTGATCTTTCAACATGATAATGATCCAAAACACACTAGCAAATCTATCAAGAAATGGCTAAAAAGAAGAAATTAAATGTTATTGACTGCTCTAGTAAAATCCCTGATTTTAAATTAAATGGGTGGGTGGGGATGGGGTAATTAGAAAGGGCCATTTGATTGAAGGAAATCAAACATCTTGGAACTTTCACTGTCGATGTCAGAGACTGTTGGGCAATTTATGCAAGAGATTTAATTTCTGCTTAAGGGGACAATACTGGCTAAATGGGTACATCATTACATCTATCAATATTTTTGTTGAAAAAATTATTTAGGTAAGTCACTTTTTTTGTAGGTGTGACATACATGTGACATGAATGTACAGATTTGAGTAGATAAGATGTGACCTATAGAGAATATGACCATGTAAATCTAGTTCATTCCTTGTTATTAAAGAAATATTCAGTCAGAGGTGTTCAGACACAGATGGTCATCAATTAACATCTGAAAAGACAGAGCAGCTTCCTCAGGCTGGAAGTGGCACCTGGATGCTAATAAGATTTTGTCACCTATACATAATCAGACTTGGCCTCCTTCCTGAAGCTGAAAAGAGAAACACAGACATTTCGGCTTCATGACACCAGGGGGTCTTTGATCTGTCTGGGGAGCTCTAAAAGAATATACCTACATCAAAGGAAATGTTTCATCTCTCATAAAAGCTAAAATATTAGTTGCAGAGAGATGAAAATACTTCCCTCTGACGGGGCACTCTGTGGGTTACACTGACATATTAAAACCATATTTGTGGCTTAGGTAGAATGCCAGGAAAGTGCAGGAAATGGTTAAGTGGCGCTGGATTGCAGTCGAACAGTGATTGGTACTGTCGCGATCGGACTGATGCGATGGTGTCGGAAATCCAATCCCCGACTTGGTGATTCAAGCCGGTCTTGGTCTGATTGAATTTGGGCAGGTCAGCACCCAGAACATCCTGTGGGCGGGTACAGGAATACCCCCCAGGGTCAATTGGCCGAGGACTAATATCCCGCCTACGTCCATATCCCCATAAATTGAGTACCCGGATGATGGGACAGGGTAATTCGTATGGAGTCGGTTGTATTTGACTGACGGATTGCTGACTCTCCCCGCCTTGCTCCAGTCGCAGGGTAAATCTTGGTAAAGTTTTATTCTGTTTTATTCCCTTTTATTTTATATAGTGAATAGTCATTTGTGTGTCTTGTATTTTTTGTATTTCTGTAACTTTTTATATTTTATGCACTGCCCACTTTTGGGATATTACATCTTAAAATTAATTAGCGACTTCTGTGTATTTAAGCACGGGCTCCTATCTTCGGAGAGATTGGATTGGAGAGATTAAATTATATTGTATTTTAGTGCCTTTATACGCTCAGTTAAGCTCATTGCCAGTCTGTATGCAATTGCACTGCGTGTGGGCAGATTGCGTGCAGATTGTAAAAGGTAACAGATCTGCCAGACGGAGATCTGTGTGTGTGGGGTGTCTCAGTAGACCGTTCTGCAGATAAACTGCTGGGTGGTGGCAGGCTACCTTTTGTGGTGTGTCTGGTGTGGGGGTGTGTGGACAGTGGGAGAGTGATTAACACCGGGGTTCTGGCTTGTAGGATAGCTGGAGGAACCCTAGAAGGGTGTGTGATTGCTAGGCTGCTCCTCAACTCTAATTAGTGCACCAAATTGTATATAAGATTTGTATCTGCCAGTGTGTGGTCAGCCATCTGGATTGGAGTGGAGTCTCCCTCTGGTGGTGGCCAAAAGGTAGTGCGGGCTGTGGAAGTACATCATGGCTGGTCTTATATACGGTTTTATATATTCAAAGTTAAGTCCCCTTTATTCCCTCTTACCCCAAGTCATGGCTGCACGTGCGCGCCTCGGTTAGCTAGTCGCTGTGGGCGTGGCGTGTGGGAGGAACTCGTGACAGTAGGAATGGTTTGAATGAAGATCCAATGCTTACCTGTTCAAATATGGAACATGGAAAGTACTTATTTTTTACATGACTGTATTGTCTTCACCTGCACAAACACACCTGTTCTAAGTAAAGGCTGAGTTCACCTTTTTTCCCTAAATTCCAGCTTTCCTATGTACCAATAAACCAGTAATGTACTTCTTTTGTAGAAAAGATAAAGCTTTCTTACTATTTTAAGATGGCATTACCTCAGCCTCCAGCTTGATCCATAGAAAAGCTCAGGACTTCCTGGTATGTAGATTTAGGAAGTGAAAACTGTTAAGACACAGGAAGTAATTCACCAGCTTACTTCATTAGCGCATACCCCGCACATGGCCTCCTCCCTCCAGGAAATTGCTCTCACCCACCTCTGTACTGACATCAGTGGTGTATTTTGGTTTTGTGCTACCCTAAGCAAGAAAAAAAAAATCAGATGCAACCCTCCCCCCTGCCTGGAGAGAGAGCCTGCCACCGACCAGCAAACCCCCCCCCCCCCTTCCCCGTAGAGAGAGCCTGCCACCAACCAACACCCCACCCCCCACACATGGAGAGAGCCTGACATTGACCAACACACCACCCCCCACACATGGAGAAAGCCTGACATTGACCAACACACCACCCCACCCCCGACAGAGCCTTCCACTAACATACAATCCCCCTTCCCCTTCCCAGTGAGAGAAAGACACTCACCTTCACAGCATATAATCTGATTGTACAATGTCCTTTGGCTTTACCATCAACATATACTGCAAGGTCTGCCTGACTGGATACAGTGTGATTGTATAGATAGTTGTATTGTCCTATATAATTTTGGTAAATCTAAAGGAGATTGTACAGTTCGATTGTATAGTGTTTGGCCGAGCAGGAGATCAGATCTGTGGGAGCTATTGGGAGAAAAGATGTCACATGTAAACACAGAAGCCGGACTTCTGCCTGGCTTCTGTGGTGAGAAGGGAGCAGAGGGCCTGAGCCAGAAGCAGAGAAACTGAATTCCACCAAGTTCCAGCTGAAAAAAAAGGCCTGGTTGTATCAGACATTTTCATTGAGATCACTATGTTCCAACAAGGGAGAAGGGGTCCCACTCTGCAGCTGCTGGCAGGGGACAGACTTTTCTACTCAGACTTTGTACCTAAAATGTATTTAGTCAATGTCAACCGAAGTTTGGCACCCTATTACAGGTAGTGGAAAAGTAACAGATGTACAAGTAGGATCAACAGGTCATAAAACCGTTATTGGGGGGCAAAACAAAAATTTTTTTTTTTAATGCTACAGACAGACTAACACACAGTGTCATTTTTATTTAATAATTTTTTAATAATTTTGCTGTATATGCTTTACGTAGCATGTGACAGGTAGGATAAAGTGAGGAGTCAGAGCTGCGGATTTGCACATTATCTCCTATTGTCAGGAAACCATTGAGAAATTACAGAGATTTTTGTTTACAGATTGTATGAATACCCTGGATCCTCCCCACAGATTTTCATTTTGGCTTAGGCCCTAAATGTTCCAAGGTTACAGAAGAGGTGAACAGCATTGCGTGTATTAGTCACATAAGGTCACCATTTATTGTGTCATCCTCCTTCACAGCATGTGACAGCTGAGCAACCTTGAACCAACAGAAGAGCTGGAGCTGGGTGAAAATATATCATTTGTGAAGGTGTCGAGTACAGAATTAACCTATTCTCTCTCTTTGCCATTACATTACAGTTTGTTTTAATAAAACCAGAGACACATTTTTAAAATAATAACTATTGTCTTATTTCCATTGTATGAGATATGAAAGAACATAAATGAATTTACTAAATGAAGTGGGAAGAAATGCATTGAAGGCAACCGATAGGCAGGCCTAAAACAAGGACTCATCCTAACTGTTAGCAGCATCCATACTGATTCTTCACTTCTTATCTGGGAATTGCAGAGTGGTGTCACTCATCTGACGTTCATAATCTAATTGGAAGATCTCATTTTGCTGGATGGTGAACAATGTCTTCCAATCTCCAACTTTACCTGCCAACCCAGAAAGACAAAATTTTTGAAAAGCCAGTAACAATTTTATTTGTACCACACCCCCCCTCACCCGGTTTAACACTCTGGTAGAAAATAAGTAAGTCCATACAATGCAGAGGGAACAGTCCACCTAGCCCCCAGCTTCTGTTCTTCATTGATAGCTGCACTCAGAAAACCATAATTACACATACATGAAGGGTCCAGCAGCTGAAAATAATTTCCCTGATATCCACTTCTGGAATTCTCACCCACCCATTGACTGAATTCAACTATGTTTCCTACTACTTCCCTTTCAATACAATTTGTTTCTGTAATTATAAATATCTAATGTGTATTTTGGGAAGTGAACTGTCCTGTGCATGTTTTCTGCATCAACACAATTTTAGGTTTTCCAGTGTTATGAAGAGCTGACAGTAGCCAGAAATTCTAGCAGACAAGTAGGCTGCTGGTATCTGAGCTGGGCCTTGGCTATCCCCAGGTGCTTTTGGCATTATGAGAATGGATATCTCTGCTGGTTATCTTCCTCTTGACTGCATGCAGTACCATTACAGAAACAGCAGTCAGGGCAGTCTCTTATTTGGTATTCATGGTGAAATTAAATGTAATACAAATTATAGGTAAAAAATTGTTTGTGGCTCAACAAAGTCCTGAAGTTAGAATGGATAAAATTATTAAGGCCACCAAACAGAATATTTTTTTTATGTAAACAAAAACCCTTACACTTAGCACCCATTTATCAAAGCCACAACCTACCTTTTCTCATGAAGCCTTTATCTGACTGGTCAAGAAGTTCCTTAGGGAATTCAGAATAATTGGCCATGGGGTTGTTCTTCATGTGTTCAAAGGAACTGAGTTTTACAATTTTGGTTACTAAATCATCTGACAATTCTTTACCGAGAAATTTTGCCACTTTCCGAATCTCCTGTGAGGGGTTCTGCGTAATCAGAATATATGAAGAAAATGAATGATAATGCTGTGCAAAGAACAAGATATCAGTATTATCTTGAATAGGGATGATTTTACTATCAGTAGGAAAAAGGTTTCTTAGATATGAGCCTTTAACCTGTTGGTTGTAATGCCCAAATCAATGAGGCCAAAAAGGTAAATAAAATGTTGCATGATTTTCCGCCACCCCCCTCTGACAATCGCTCCACTGGCTTCCGATTGCCCAACGGATCAAATTCAAAATGCTAACACTGACGTACAAAGCTGTCCATAACTCTGCCCCAAACTACATCACCGACCTAATATCCAAATACCACCCAAAACTCACTCTCCGCTCCTCACAAGACCTCCTTCTCTCTAGTTCCCTGGTCTCCTCATCCCATGCCCACCTCCAGGACTTCTCTAGGGCATCACCCATCCTCTGGAACTCCCTACCCCAATCCATCAGACTATCACCTACTCTCCTCTCCTTTAGGCGCACCCTGAAAACCCATCTCTTCAGGGAAGCCTACCCCGCCCTCTGCTAATTGCCAATCTCCTCCACTCTTCCTTCCACTCTATCCCCCACAGCTTTTCCTCCCGTACCACTATCCCCTCCCTCCTAGATTGTAAGTTCCAAGGAGCAGGGCCCTTGAACCCCTCGTGTATCGCATTGTATTGTTATTGTACTGTCTCTTGTATTGTCCCTCATTGTAATGTACAGCGCTGAGCGAACTATTGGCAAGATATATAAATACTGTATAATAATAATAGGATCAGGAAGGGTTATTTATTATATTCTATCCAAACTGTCCCCAGTTGCTCAGGAGGTTTATGTTGCCAGCACTTGACTTTAAATGACTGGAGCTTGTGTGAGGTTGAACCTAGAAGACATTGATTTATTCGCTTTACTATGCAAATGCAGCAGAGACTAAAATGAGAAAAAGTATTTATATACCCAGGTTTCCTCCAACACAAAATCAGGTTGTTTATCTCATTATTAAAATATGTGCCTATGTATGTTCTCACCTTCTTTAGATCTTCAAAAAATATATATAAAATGTTGTGCTTGTCTCTCGCTGCCCAAAAACCTTTCACATGATCATACCAGGAGCCCCAGCCCACTGTGCAGATAGAAAACAACAGTTACCAGACAACAGACACAAAAGTAGATAAGCAAGATCTGATCACTTTCTACACTACAGTCTTCACTGTGGGATCCAGTCTTATCTCTCCTATTACAAAGCCAATTTCTCAGGACACAATTGACACTAAAGACTTAATTGCAGGATCCAATCTTACCTGTTGTACTACAAGGCTCAATTCCTAAAGCAGGGAGTGCTCAACCTTTTGACAAGCGAGGGCCACTTAAATGATTTGGTAACCAGTCACGGGCCACAACTAGATGAAATGGTTCCGAATTTTGAATTTTTTTATTTCCGGTGGGAGGGAGAGGAGGAGAAGTGGATTTCAGTGGTTACAGGAGGAAAATGGAGCAGATTGGTTCCTGTATAGGCCACCCCCACTGTCCCTCCTGTACAAGTAAATGTGACAGGGAGATTGCACGGGCCCCCTGGAGCATGGTGCGGGGTTACCATTGTGACCCCTGACACTACACCAGTGGTTGGTGGTGTGTGGTAAAAACACATCTCAATTATGGGATTTTACTGCCCCCAAACCGTAAAAGTAAATGAGCCCCTACTGTCTTGAGCACCCAATAAGGCTGCTTTCACACAGATGTGCTGCAGTTTACCAGAACCGCTGTGCACCTCTGGGTTAGCTGCTCTTTGCCATGGACTTCCATTGTATCTTGCAGGTGTAGTGCACTTTCTGAAAGCGCACCAAAATTCCTGCATTCAAGAGTTTTGGTGCTCTTACAGAAAGCGCACCAAACCCACAGGATATAATAAAAGCCTACTGTAGCTAACATGCAGGGAAGTCACAGGTGCACTGTGCATCTCCCACGGATCAATGTGAAAGCAGTCTAATAGTTGACCCTTTTATAGCTGCTAATATGGCCATTGTAAAAGTGCAGTATATGTATTGCTCAGTACACTGACCTTTTTTTTCCCTTTTTCAGCTTCTGCTGGCATCACTCTCCAGGCTGCTAGAAAGGTCCCAGGCAAAATGCACTTGGTATCACTCCACCTGGGACTAATGCCACAGAGGAAGCATCAGCCATTGTGGCTCTGGCTCTCTCCGTGGGCGCCTTCTTCCTCCCCTGCCAGCACTGGCTCAATGCTCTCTGATGCTCTGGGATGGCAGGTCAGCAAGCCCAGATCGCAATCAACAGGTTGCCGACCCCAGGAATGTACTCACCTGATTTGAGGTTGAGGGCCACATCAGAGAGCTCCGCGGGTCACGAGTTGAGCATCCCTGCCCTAAATGTTCCCTGTGAACTCCTAAAAGTGATCCTTGCAGGGATTTATATAAAATGGCTGCACATAGTATTTACTGAGGAATTAATATGGATTGTTAGCTTAAGCTGGATCAAATTTTTCTGAAATAAAAAAAAAATCTTAACACTAAACCGCAACCTCACTGGAAAATCCTGCCAAACAGGCCCAAGCCTGATGGAGCTTGTTGCTTTCAGTTACTTCATATACGTACCATTTCATCTACAGGTGTGGAACTAAAGATTTTAATTGGGAATCTGAAATCAGTCAATACATATAAATTACATACATGTCATTTATCAAACACAAAAGATTTCCCTGCAGTTACCAGAGAAGGGTTCACACGCTTTTTGAATCAATGACTGTTGATTAATGTTGTCCATGCTTTGTTTTAATAGATCTAGCTGCAGTTGATCTGTTCTTTATTTTAAGTTCTTTCATGCTCAGTATTTATGTCTCACAGAGATCACATTACTCCCTCTTACAAAACCTTAATCTTCCTTCCTGCAAGGATAGCTCCATCTTTGTTCAGCTTTTATCCAGGGTTACTATCTACTTCCTGGCTAGAGAGGCCTGGCATAGATGACACAATGGTGTAAATCCTGATTTCTAGAGGAGGGAGACTGAGGAAATTATTTTGCCTGCCTGCAGGAATAATTATATTCTCCCAGAATGGCCCACTCTACCTTGGCACAGGCACTGGACTGGATCTCACAAACGATTTTCACATAACAAAAGATTTCTTTTTTTTACAAGAGTGTTTTGTTTTAAATGACTTTACATGCACTCACTGGCCACTACATACACTCACTGGCCACTTTATTAGGTACACCTTGCTAGTTGGATCCCTTTTGCCTTCAGAACTGCCTTAAATCTTTGTGGCATCGATTCAACAAGGTGTTTGAAGCACTCCTCAGAGATTTTGGTCCATATTGACATGAGTTAGTGTTGCCTTTCTATCATCTCGATCCAGTCGGCCCATTCTCCTCTGACATCAACAAGGCATTTTCGTCCACACAACCGCCGCTCACTGGATGTTTTCTCTTTTTCAGACCATTCTCTGTAAACCTTAAAGATTGTTGTGCATGAAAATCACAGTAGATCAGCAGTTTTTTTAAATACTCAGACCAGCTCATCTGGCATCAACAACCATGCCACGTTCAAAGTCACTTAAATCCCCATTTTGATGCTCGGTTTGAACTTCAGTAAATCGTCTTTACCACATCTAGATACCTAAATACATTGAGTTGCTGCCATGTGATTGGCTGATTAGCAATTTGTGTTACCAAGCAATTGAACAGGTGTACTTAATAAAGTGGCTGGGGAGTGTATATTGAGATTTTAGAAATGTATTGATGCAGGTCATCAAAGTAACTGATAGGTCAGCTTTAAATAAGACTGCTTTTATTATGAAGACAGAAATGGAGATGGAATCACAGCACATGAGCCATCAGGAAAATTTTAAAAGGGTCAAAAACATTTTCTCAGAAGGCTACATGCCACCTGCTGCCTTGTGCCTGCAGATTGTACCCATATTAGACCCTAATGCAATCTGTCCTACTCACCATCTCCCTTCATAAACCTATGCAGGTAGTCTTCAAATGACCCTGGATCTGGGTGGATCTGTACAAGATGGTCAAAGTAGAAGAAGGAAGTCAAGGTATCTCTGGCATTGCGCGCCACATAAATGATCTGCAAAGAAACTATTGTCACTTCCAATCAATGTTGCCACTGCAGTTTATTATTCACCAACATTGCTCAGTGCAGCTACCTTGCAGTTGTGTTTCCAGAATGATGGTGGAACCAGTTGGTAGGGCAGATGGCTCTTCAGTACTCGTGGTGATGGCCTGGTGTTCACTTCTTCAATCCCTTCAATGTAGAGGTCATAGATAGATATTTTACTGCCTGATTTGTCTGCCTTCCCACAATAAATCCATCTGATGGGAAAGCAGGAGAATATTTCCCATATAGAGCAAAATATGCAACCTCCAACTGCCTCTCAATTTATTATGAGAATCACCACATGGCTACAAGCAGCTGTCTATTTTTTTTTTTTTTTTAGACTGATGTTATATAGGGGATTCTGATGCTGGTGACACTTTGCTAGTGTCCAGATTGCCAAAAGACCATTTACCAATCTATGTGGAATTGCCCTCTCGCTAGCCAGACCAGCGAGATGTTCTTCCCTTGTTGGTAAAAGATTCTGCAGCATCCCGGGCTTACAAGAGCACCATTCCACAGAGGCAAGTAGAAGGTAGTTCTGTGTGACCCTACCACTAGCAATTTGTCATCAGTGGCACAGTTGCAGAGTTACATTAGTCTTGACAGGCACACATGCAAGGATCAGATAACATATGCAGGGCATGAAGGGTCACATACTGACCCCCCACTGAAGACTTAAAGTGGAAGTAAACCCAGTTTTGTATCTTTTACCGACAGATAAGCTTATAATAAATCTTACCTGTAAGTAAAATGAATATCTCCTAAACAAGCACTGTTTAGGAAAGGGGTAGGCAACCTTAAAGAGAGATCTACCTGAACAACATGGGAGAAGTCAAAAATCACTGGACCTGGTATGGCCATCTCACACTTGATTTAAACCTCTAATTGCTGTACTACCGTGTTGCAGTTGCTTGCATTGCATGGCAATCATGGGTTTAAATCAGGTGGTGAAGAGGCAACATATCGCCTCCTCACCACCTGTCAAACACACTTGAATTGCTTTTCAGTGGAGCAGCAGTGCCTTCTGCAATTGTGAACAACCCCCTAGTTGCATTCATCAGTGCCTTATCTGCAATAGATTAGCCTCAGAACCTGTGTAATTATTATGTGTTTGGTTTTAAAGGGATGAGGTGGCAACCTTACATATAAGGCTGCTGTCACATTGATGTGCTCCGGTTTACCTGTACCGCAGATGCAGTGCACTGCAGTGCATCTGCAATTTACATGCATTAGCTGTGCTTAACCATACACTTCTATTATATCCTGCAGGTGCGGTGCCTTTCTGAAAGCCCACCAAAACAGCTACATTCAGGAGTTTCGGTGGGCTTTCAGAAAGTGCTTCAAACCTGCAGGATATCATAGAAGTCTATGGCTAAGCACAGCAAACCCACAGGAATGCTGCAGGTACACTGCACTGCACTCACAGGATAATGGTATATTATTATACCCAGTGTATTGCTTAACACTGACCTGAAGAGCTCTGCTTTCCTACTGCTGGCACCATTCTGGAGGCCACTAGCTGGGATTAGAGGTGGAGTGTGCAGTTGGTATCACTCCGCATGGGACAGGAACCAGCACTACAGGAGGAGGCATTGGCTTATGCAGGTCTTGCTCCATACTACAGCTTCAACTTTACAAGTAGCTCCTCTGCATTGCACTCTGATGCTCTGGGATGGAGGGTCAGCAAGCCCTAATTGTGATCTACCAGTCACCTGGCTGTGATCTACTGGTTGCTGACCCTTGGTTTAGGAGTTATTTGCTATTTATAACAGCCAGCGCATATCCATGCAGTTCATTCAGAACACTGTGCTGTAGCCTGATTGACGTCATCGTGGCTCGGCCTGTCAGACTGCTGAAGCTCGCGAACTTGGAAGGAAGATTGGGTGAAGATGTAAGCCCTATCAGTGGTGACAGCACACTGCTAAAGGGCTTCGTTTTGAGGTAAGTCTTTCATATTATGCTAGTTATGCGATGCAAACTAGTATATTATGACTTTACCTTGCAGGGGATTTTTTTTTTTTCCAAGTTGTGGTTTACTGCCACTTTAAAGCTCAGTTCCAACAATTGTTACTTGCCGTACCTTTTATTATTTTCGGTAACGTAGGACAATGAGAGCTGAAAATAATCATGCCCCTTGAGCCAAGTGACATACATGGCTAACAGTTTGTCTGGGGACTATATTTATTTTATTTCAGGTACTTATATAGCACCATCAATTTGCACAGCGCTTTACATATATATTGTACAATCACATCAGTCCCTAACCCTCAAGGGGCATACAATCTAAGGTCTCTTAACTCACATTCATACATACACATACTAGGGCCAATTTAGAAAGGATCCAATTCACCTACCAGCATGTCTTTGGAGTGTGGGAGGAAACCGGAGTACCTGGAGAAAACCCACGCAGGCACAGGGAGAACATGCAAACTCCAGGCAGGTGGTGCCGTGGCTGGGATTCGAACCAAAGACCCTAGTACTGCCAGGCGGAAGTGCTAACCATTTAGCCACTATATAGTTTATGCAGCAAATAAAATGCACCCATATTGTCACATCATTGATAGAATGCCAAGTGCTATTTCACCCATTTCTTTTTTCTTTATTGCTACTGTGCTACATAACTATCTTAAACCTCTCAGATTTTATTACATACATTACAGAAGGAAATTATGTGGTTGATAGTAAACACTGTAACACGGCCTAAAAAGTAAATGATTAACAAGGTTACTGCACGATAACAACCTGAAATAACATGTGCCATGTCCTGAAAATCCTTGGAAACTTTTCAAATCTGGGCAGAGAGTAACTATAATTCTTGAGATACCTTTTTTTTTTTATCAGAGCCTGTTCTGACTGCTGGCTGGTAATATAACATTTTCAGGAGGATCTCAAGAATTTTGTCAGGAGATGCCTGTAACCAGTCAGGTATTCATATGATAACACATTTTTATCTAATCCCCCTTGAACTGCTTAATAGTAAAGGTTTCAACAGCTATAGCATCTGGTTGCAATGTTATCACTAACAACATTTTCACCCCCTATTTGAGTACTGGGCAGGGGTGGACTGACCATTTGGAAACTCGGGCGATGCCCAAGGGCCCAGGGTCAGTAGGGGGCCCCATGAGATGCCCCTGGTACCTTTTTCATAGGCTTTTTTGAGTTTGGGCAAGGACACAGGGGCCCCATGATCCCCTATTGCCCGGGGGCCCCATGAGTTGTCAGTCTGCCCCTGATACTGGGCAAGCAGTTTGAGCTCAACATTTAATAAATTGTTCTTCATAGATGACTCTCCCTTTACTCATCTCCAAAACCACACCTCTGCTAGTGAATGGTCAACAACAATTTATAGTTTCTCAGTGTCCAAAATTGCTATGGAGGCACAGGGAGGAAGCTCTGGATGGGTATGTGTGTGTGTACATACAATCATCAGTATATTCTCATGTCTCCTGACCTGGTTTCATCATATGAAGGAGTTCAATGAAGGGAATTCTTTCATATATTGGTGCTCTCATGCATATCTGCTCATCACCGTCATGTAGGATCAGATCCACCATCTCCTGCATCCAAGTGGTCCCTGAAATTCACATGTTGTCTCATCAAAGACCCCCAGACATATCAAGCATCACTATATGTACACAGATTAATCCACACTATGCAATAGCTATCCGTGTAGAGGTTTCCCAGTACAGTTTACAACTTACAGCAGAGATGGTTAAAGGGTAAGTTCACCTTTGGGAACATGTTACATGTTCCACCCATTTTTAGGGTGGTTATGCAACATGTTCCATTAGCTGCAGCCGTGCCTGCCGCCGCCCCCCCCCCCCCCCCCCCACCAGGGAGAAGTTCCCCCATACTGTCAGATAGTGCGTCCATGCAGGGCTGCACACCCATGGCTGCATCAGGTTCTGAATGAGTTCCCCCGACAGCCTTAGTGGCTGTTGGCTACTTAACTACCATGGCACTGTGGAGCATTTTGAAATTCTTCTTGCAGTGACCATACATCCCATACAGCAAGCAGATCAGGTCTGCATGTGGCAGGGCTGCACACCCAGGCTCCTGCATGGCTGCATCAAAAAGTGACACTTATCTGGGCTGAATGAGTGTTTGGTAATACATGGTCCAGATCTTGACAGCCTTAGTGGCTGTTGGCTTGTAGTTTTCCAATTAACTACCCCCATGGCAAAGGGGTTTAGGGACTGTGGAGCACAAATCATGGTACGTTGTTCATTGATTCATTGATTCTTCTTGCCAGAATATCTTGACCATACATTCCCATACAGCAAGCAGATATTCTACAGGTCTGCAGGAGACCAGTGTGGCATCAGTGATCTACTGAAGGGCGGCTCGTGCAATGCTTTCCAAGAGAACAGGCTCATTCGCAAACAAAAAGGGCAATAAAAAATGCTAATTTTTTTTACCCCGTGCATTTATTTTGTCAGATTTTTTTTGTCAAAAGAACACCTTAGTAAGTTAAACGCTACCTGGTCGTGGCAGAATAGAAGATGCTGACTTCGAGCTGTCTGCTACCCTGAGAGAGTGAGAGATGTCCCGTGTGACTGCAGGAACGAGAAAAGATTGTCATGTGGTGTAACTAAGCAAACGCACACTGCGTAATGAAGGCCTCCGTGCCAGAAACTCCCAGGCGTACCCCCTTGCTGTCTCCAAAAGAATAAGAAGAGTCCTTAGAACTGTTTGGGCCCATGGATCAAAGGGCTACTCCTTCTGCAACAGGGAAGCCAAAGGGTATATGACATTCTGTAGATGGATTGGAGTGGTAAACGTACCATTTCAACAGGTTTCTCAGATCTTGGACTTTTTTGACCATGTATAATACCTCTGGTGGGTGACTTAAAGAAAGCAGTGCAAGGGAATGTGAATGCTGTTTTGCCCATTAGGGAAGGTGGGTGTCAGGATCACGTTTAAAAGCTTATTTAAAAGGATGCTGTACTATACTAAGATTGAATGTCACTTGGTTGAATAGTAATGGTGAGCCAGAAAAGACATTTGTGGTTATTTCAGATAACTGCGGAACCTGTAGCTCTCCCCCCAAAACACTCAACTTGTGTCCATTTGCCCCATATTGGCAGTATATCCACTGTAGCATTTGTATTTTGCAGAGCAGGTCCAGGACTGGCCATAGAGGGATTAGTTTGATGCAGCTGACCAGCTTAAACATGTATGGCAACATGTGTGAACTTAAAATCCATGTTTTTTCATTGCAAAGTTTGCTAGAATGGGTATATAGCAGTTGACACAGGGTGCATCCAGAATTTCTAGAGTTAACATATGTTCATATCCTTTTAGTGCCTGATGGACTATATACATGTCCAAATTTGAGCACAGGTATATCTTATTTCAAATGTATTATTTCAATGGATCTCTCTCCATTGCTCTCCATTCCACAGGTTCCACTCTTCTTTGATTTCCCATCCCCATCTCATATTATTTCCACAACAAGGTTGCTGTCCACTTCAGATCATCAAAAACATATCCTGTACCTTTCCAACTCCAATTAAAACCTCTGCTTGTCCACCTTTCAGTCACACATTGGGGACAATTCACTATAGGTGATCACATGTGTTATGTTGGTCAGGTGTCAACATACTTCATGCAATACTGAAAATGTCAATTCACTATTGCTAGTATGCAGTATTTACCACAAATAGCAAAAACGCTCAGTAAATACCACATAAAAAGACTTTAATGTCGATTCACAGAAGCAAATAAAATTATTAAATGCATGCGGTACTTAAATACTTACTTATTTAAGAACTGTCAGACAGCGGGAGCCTTCTTCGAGAGCGGAGCCTTTTTTGGGTCGGCGGTGGCAGCGGGAATGATTGACAATGGATCCACACAAGTGGAAATTTTTTATATATTTGTTTTTTTTAATAAAGGACTTGTCAAAAACTGCCTCCTGTGTTTTTTTTACACTACACTTCTTTTTTGGTGAATGAGTAGGGGTACCATGTACCCCATGCTCAATCACATGGGGGGTGGGATCTGGGAGCAGAGCCCCCTGCCCCAAAGCACCCCCCATGTTGAGGGCATGTGGCCTAGTATGGTTTAGGAGGGGGGCACTCACTCTTCCCCCCCTTCAATTTCTGACCTACCAGGCTGGATGCTTGGACAAAGGTCTGGTATGGATTTGGGGCGCCCCACACCATTTTTTTTTTTTTTGCATGGGGTTCCCCTCAAAATCCATACCAAACTCAATTTTACCATCAGCTCTTGCTCCTTCTCTTTCCACTGCTCTTTCCTCTTACACCATCAGCCAATGCTTCCTCCATATACAGATTACAGTGTCTATCAGATCTAAAAAGTCAAACCTAATGTGGCATGATTCAGTCATTTTCCATCAGATTTTTGGACTACAGTATCAACAATTCCCTGCTCAATTATTTACAGCATACATAAAACAGATAAAGCATGTAGTAAGAGTGGGCACTCAATGTGTGGTGGGTAGGAACAGTTGTGGGTAGACCGACTGGTCCTGTAATGATTAACAGTTAAAATTCCTTTCATTATGATGAAATACTATTACAAGCATTAGCTGAAAAAATACACATTTTAAACATAACTGTTGAGAATTTTGATATGTAAAGTTTTTATGAAGTTCATAAAAGAAATGGCTGCAATCTACTGAATCCAAAAAGTATAAGATTTACTACAGAAGATTAAAGGCTTCACCCATTCCAAGACCTGAGACCCTGGTGAAGCTGCTAATAACCACGTTAATATAAAACTCCAAATTGTCTGTGCCAAATGCACTTCAGCTCTTACTGAGCCAGATGCCGAGCAGAGCATACTAAAAATATTTCCCACCATAGTCAACATGGTACTGTATACATACTAAACTGTCAGCCAGTTGTCTGCTCTAGAGGTCTTATTACAGTATAAAAATGCACTACGGTTAGCCACAAAACTTTTCAATTTTTACAAAAACATACTGATAAATGAGGAAATAGGAGGCCCTTTCTAATTATCTATTCACCTCCAATACACACTTACTGTATTGATAAATTTTACTTGAAATGAAAGTTGAGTTTGCTATGTACTTACCAGATTTTGGGTAAGTGTCTATCAAGAGGTCTCCAGGTCTTGCTTGGAAGTTGTAGATTTGTTCCCAGTTTGCAGCAATAACTTCAGCCAGAGCCATGCCCTCTACAACGGTTAGCTTGCCCGCCATGGGGATACTACGTCAACAAGCAGACAAGACCAGTGCAAATTCAGCCTCAGTTGTACTTTACACTGGACTGCAAGTGCCAGGGAACTTTATATCCCAAGTTAAGAGGGAGTGGCAGCCTCTGCATTGTGAAGCAAATACACAAATTAAGCAAGCTTTCCTCTCAAACATTCAGCTGATCCTGCAGCTTGGCACAGGCACCCTAGTCTAGATTCAGAGAGATGTGTACAGGAATGAAATTGTCGCCAACAACTAGAAAAGGTCAGATTTAGTGAAAAACAGTCACCAAAGGGGAATCTATGGAAAAATTGGATTTTTGGTTTACCTGTAAAATGCTTTTCTTGGAGTACATCACATAACACAGGGCATCTTCAAAACCATTATGACTGGGTTAAGATGTCACCATCAGGTGACTGGACATGGGCAAAAAAAAAAAAAAGACTATAAACCCCTCCCAGGCATAACCTTCCAAGCCACACACAGTCTCAGTTTTGTAGCAAGCCATGCACAAACGAAGAAGAGTAGGATCCTTGTGTCCTGTGATGTACTCCAAGAAAAGGATTTTACAGGTAAACCAAAAATCTTTTTTCTCTATCGTATATCTCAGGATACAGAGCAGAATCATATCAATTACAATAGGGATGTCCCAAAGCACTAAATATGAGGGGAAGGCAACACAACAGGTCCCAAAAACTAAAACCAATACCGAAGTTAGGACCTCACATAGCTGCCTGCAAGACCTTCTACTTGAAGGCTGCATCCACAGAGGCCTGAACATCTATCTGGTGAAACTTTGTAAGGCTGCTGCCTGGCCTTCAGTTCACACTTTTACTAACATGAGCTACTGAAGCTTGATTTTGAATAGCCCAGGAGGCACCGACACTCCTGGAAGAATGAAATAGCAAAATCAGAAGCTGCATGGCCCTTCCATGCTGATAAAAAGGACCAAAAGAGAAACAAATTGTTTAGTCAATGCTGTAGACTGTAAGTAAACCTTTACCGTAGAAACCACATCCAAAGTATGAAAAACTCTGTCCTCCATCATTGGAGGGTAAGAACAGAAGGAAGGCAACTCAATATCCTCGATGAAATAGAATGAAGAAGCACAAAATGACGACTGAGGTTGTAAGACCACCTTATCTTGATTGACCAGGTAGGGTTTCTTACACTTAGGAGCTGCCAATTCCAAAACCATGTAAGCCAAAGTAACAGCAACCAAAAAAACAATCTTCCTGGTCAGAAGCACTGAGAATATCCTGGATGAACTGAAAACGGAGACTTCTGTTGCATAAAAAGTACTGAGTTGAGGTCCCACAGAGTACAGACAGAATGGAACAATGCACATAACACCCTGTATGAAAGCATGTATTAAGAAAT